TCATGACAAAACTCCTGTTAAGGCTGGAGAGCAAAGCCGTGGCAGCCCCTCAGCATCCAAGGTGCTCTGCTCCTTTTGCCCAGATGCAGCCCTTGGGACCTGGATTCCCAGGGGGTCCCAAGGGATGCCCCAACCTCTCTTGTCTCCTCCTTGCCAACAGCAGGGTGTGTGTGTGTGTCTGCTGCTCCGTGGAGACCAGCACAGGTGACTCTTCCCAAATACATCCTTAGGGCATGTGGGAAAAGGGCTTAAAACTGCAAAAGGAGCTGTTTGTTTTGCAAGGGGAGTGTGATGGATAAATCACTGCCCAATGAGAGCTGTGCAGCCAAGGGCTGGGTTAGAACCCACTGGGTGCCAACACACTCAGGAGTCGCTGGCACTCAAACTTGAGCAGAAGGCTCAAGGCTTTGGGGTTTGCTTTTAATCAGAACTGGTGCCTTTGCAGCCCTTTCCTCATGGGTGTGCCAACCACCAGCCAACAGGCAAAGAGGATGTGGCTCCATCTACCAGTGCTGATCAGAAGTGAGGCCACTGGGATCTGGATGAAGCTACATCAAGCCCTTTTCCATGTGAATCCTTCTCTCTGCCAGAGGATACTGATTTCCCCGTTATCACTGGATTTGAAGTATGATGTAAAAAAAAATTTAAAAAAAAAGGGTGACAGACTATTCTATTTTAAGAGAATTAAAAAGAAATTTTTCCTTTAAAAATAATAAAATCTGTGATTCTTGGGCCAGAAGCACCCCTGGTGACCAGGATTAAACAGGGCATAAAGTCAGTTTGCTTCTGACTGTTCCTGAAGGCAGTGGCCTGAGCACAAGCTCAAAGAACCCCCAGCTAAGGCACACACCAGTTCAGTCCCTGTCCCAACTGGGCAAGTTTCCCCAGATCCCCGCCCCAGTGCTTCTAAGTCAAATGAGATCACTCTGCAAGTTTCCCTACTCCTGTGCAATTACATTCCCATGTCAGAGACGAGGGAGCCAGTTAGGCATGGATACACAGTCCTTTTCAAATGCTTAATATTTCTAGTTTCACTGTAATTATATCCTGCAGATAAAAATGGTGCTCAAGGTCAAACAAATCCTCCAGGAGAATATGCACTGCATGGAAACTGTTTGGGTTTTTTTTAACTGGAAAGGTTGTATAAATACTGCAGATTGAGAACATATAATTATCCATTAAAATCACTCTGAGACTGCTGAATTAATATTTGTCTATGTTCAACCTCTAGTCTCATATTTATAAAGTTTACATGTGCCCAAAAATCAGCTCAGGCAGGAGGCAACTGATCAGAAATACTTTTTTTCTGGGCCTTTCCTTTGGCATTAGAGCATTATATTCTTCAGAGAAGCAATTCCAGGGATGGGGGCTGGGCTGAGCCACCACTATCCTGCAGCCAGCCCCCACCAGCCTCTCTCCAAAGGCAGGATTCACTGCCCCATGGCCTCTACAGACACATCCCTGTGTCGCCCCAACAGTGCAGGGCTGCAACAACTCAGCTGAGAGAATGTCTCTGCCTGGGAAAGGATTCACACCCACCACTCCCATTTAGAATCATGCAGCCATTAAGGATGGAAAAGATCATGTCCTACCATCAACCCCACCAAATTCACCATTAAACTGTCTCCTCAAGTGCCATATCCACACAGTCTTTGAACACTTCCAGGGATGGTGACTACACTTCCTTGGGAAGAGCTTTACAACTCTTTCTTTGACTTTTTTCCCCAAATATTTAACCTAAACCTCTGCACATTTGCAACTGCTCTGATGGTTGTTGCCCAAGACTAATCCCACTGTTTGGTGCAACCTCCAAATCTGCCTGGGGATGGAGAGGCAGCCCTTGCAGTCATCATGCAGGGATTCATAAAGGGGACAGTGGTAGCTTTTGCTCTGGAACTACTCCTCTGGGAGCAAGGAGCAGTGTGACAGCCCTGCCCTGCAGCTGATACACTTTCACGGGGGGAGCAGCACAGTTACCCACCAAAGCCCCCAGCTCCACTCTCCTTCAGAGAGTGCCCTGCTACACTCTGCTCCTGCCACCCTGCAGGTGCACATCCCCCTGGAGCAGCCCCAGGGAGGGAGCTGCCTCCCCTGACTCCTCAGAGGAGCAGAAAGAGGATCCAGCTCCATCCTTTGCCTTCCCTTTGTCCTCCAGACATTGTTTGCCCAGGAAAGGAACAGGAGGCACTTGGCACACGCCCAGCACTGCTGGACTCCTCTCGGGGGGATGAAGTTTGCTCCCCCACCAAACACTCCTGCTCAGGGGTGCCCACAGCCAGGAGAGCCAGGGTGAAACCATGGACAGCATCGCTGCCAGCAGCGGCCTCTGCGCTCCCCACAAACCTTCCCCTCGTTTATCCTAGTGATCCAGGCCATGGAACTGCAGCAACTGAGCCACTGCTTTTGTCCCCAGCACCAGCAAAGCCATCATGGGGTTCAGGACAAAAGCACTGCCCCAGAATGGGGTTTGGGGTGAAGAGCTGCAAGACCCAACCTGTCACCCTGCTCTCCATCAGCCACCTCCAGACCTGAGGTGGGTAACATCTGTCTGTTCCCTGCAACTCTGGCTAAAAAATACCCACAAGAACTGGGAGTCACTGGCATCACCACCCCTTGGACACAGTACCACAGGAGCAGCTCTCAGGAGGACACCTTTTTGGTGGAGACTCACAAGAGCCACCAGCCAGCAGGAGCTGCCAGGAGCTATATATATTTTGCTTGGATTTGAACTGCCCATGAACCTTCACCACAAATATTTGGAGGAAGGGGAGGGGGTAAAGGAAACAAAAACATTTTTAAAAATTGTCTCAGCAGTGAGAAAAACTATCAAAGAACCAAAGGCAATTGAAAAATTAGGTACTTCCAAAGCTTGGTAACTTTATAACTGATGTGGAATCTGGCAGCTCGAGCACTGCTGTGCCAACCTCCTTCCTCAGCCAGCTGTGCTGAAGCCAAAGGGCAGAGGAAATCCACAAACCCTCGTGCTGACCCCTCCTCACCACTCAGGAACCTCAGCCTCCCCAAATGCTGACAGGGAGAAAACCCATGGCATGGACCTGATCCATCCTCTTCCCCCCAACCTCCATCTCTGAGCATCCCCCCGGACCCCTGGAGGCAGAGACATCATTAGCATATATTTACATTCATGCTGAGCCAGGGAGATGGGTTTTCCTTTTGGATGCAAGGATGTAAAGCCAGAGGAGCTCTGCAAGTGTCAAGGGGGTACATGAGACTTATGGGCACCACACTTGATTCTCTGAGCTGCCACCTGCCCCAGCCTGAGGATGCAGAGCAGAGGATGGAGGGAGGCTGGGGGTGTTATCCCAGTGGATCTGTCACTGTTTTCAATGGACACATTTACTTCCTACTGATGCACTTGGGGGGAAGGGGCTGTTGAACCTCACCAAGGCTTTTCTGATCTTTGAAATCATTTGGATCTCAGTAGAGCTCTTTGAGGTGACCCCCTCTCTGCCCTGGCCAGGCTCAGCCCTCCCAGCAGAACACCCCTGCCATGGAGGACAACTGGATTTATGTAGGAAAAATGCCATGTTTCCAGCAGGGATTTATCTCCTCCAAAAGCAAACTACCATTGCTAATAAGCACTGATGCTTACACACCAGCACCCTGGTCACAAGAAAAAACAAACCATCAAACACAAAATCTGTGCAAATACATCTCTGGTCTAAGCCAAGCCACCCAGGAAGCCAAAGTTTGGTACCAAATCCCACTGAGGTGCAGCAGAAAAGCCTGCCAGCATCCAAAGCACACCCTGGCATGGATGAAGAGCTTCTCTGGTTTAAAGGTGTAATTTATACTCAGCTCCTGAGTTACTAAACCCTGCAGCCCTTTCAGCACACATCAAAGCACCCCACTTCATATAGCAGTCCCTGAGGGTAGACTCAGCCCTCTGCATGGGAAAGGTCTGTTCCTGGAGGATCCAGCTCCCTTAATGGAGCAGGGAGCAGCCAGCACTCCAGGGAGGCACACAGTTCCCTGGGAAATCGATGCCAAAGGAAGATGGGGTGGAGCTTAGTGCTTTTATAAAGATTATTTGGAAAGAGAAGAACCCAAGCGAAATGGCTCTTCCCTAGGGAACTTGGGACCTTTGTTTCTCTCCAGACATGCCCAGAATGGCTGTGTGACTTGCAGGCCTGATGCTGGGTTCTCAGTATGCCTTGAAACACAGATTTGTGCAGGAAAGGGAGGGGACTCACACACCAGTGCCTCCTGCAAGACAACAAAGCCAGCACTTCTGACCATGTAGAGTGGAGACATCTCCAGCTAAAGCCTTCCAGGGCCACTCCCATCTTTCTAAGAGCACAAGCTCTGCTTCAGACCTGACTCTTTTAGCCTCTGGTTCTCCTTCTTTCCTGTCTCTGCCAGCAGACTCACAAACCTCTCCCCATCGCAAACAGGCCTGGACCAAGTGATTACAACCCACGCCAGCCACAGGTTCTCCGCCCCCTGCCTTCCCCCAGGGGACCCTTATTTTTCCACTAGGAAACTCAGGGCAGCAATTTGAAGCCTGACAGAAAAACTCCTTTAACTCAAAGAAAAGAGCATTCCTACCTCACCTCCATCTCACTGCCATAGCCAGAGGGTGATGCTGACCTGATCCCTCTGCTGCAGACACCACTCCACCTCCCCCCAGCCCAGGTCATCATTCTGACCAAGACAATTTTGGCTAGACATTTTCCAAAAGAAGTTGTCAGCTCCACTTAGGCAAACCAAGTGTATCAGGCAGAGCTCAGAGGATGAGGAGACATTCCCAAGGCACAGAGATGGTGGCAGCCTCAGTCTCAGAGGGGCACCCCCCATCCCTCTTGGGGTCATGGTCAGGGTGGCCCAGAGGAGACAGGGGACACCTGCTCTGAGCTTGGCTTTTGGAAAGGCACACACCAAAATGTGTATGTGTGTATATATCTATATCTATATATATATATAAAATGGGCAGGGCTACTGAGCAAGGCCAGGAGGGATAGGGAGAGCTGCAGAAATTGCTACCTGCAGCCACACGTCTCCACGACCATGTCCTCATACTGTTTGTAAACCACATTGTTCCCAGAGTCTATATAGAGGATGCTGATGGGGCTGAGCTTGGAGGGCACGCAGCAGCTCGGGGGGGTGGACTCTGGGTCCATGGAGTTCATCAGGGTCTGGATTATGGCATGGTTGGTGGGCTCCAGGTGGGAGCGCAGGGGGAAGTCGCAGACCCCCTCGCAGTGATAGGCCTCGTAATCCAGGGGGGCGATTATCCAGTCATCCCAGCCCAGCTCCTTGAAGTTCACGTGCAGGGGCTTCCTGCTGCAGCGAGTCTTCGCCTTCTTCCCGTGGCCTCTGCCCCCGGACCGGGCGGCAATGGTGGTCCTCCTCTTCCTCCGCTTCAGGTACGCCTCCTGGCCGGGATCGGGGGGCTCCAGGAAGGGGGGGCTGCCCAGGGCCTTGATCTTATCCCGGATCTCCTTGAAGAGGTTCTCCTTCCTCTGGGTGCGGGAGAAGGCCACGAGCAGGGCTCGCTCGTGGGGCTGCGGCCGGGGCTTGCCGAAGCCCAGCTGCCGAGGGGGCAGGAGCTGCCCCGACTGATCCGAGACGATCCTCAGCAGGAAGCACAGCAGCTTTCCCGAGAGCGACCTCTCCCTCTGATCTCGCAAGGCCTCCCAGACATCAAACACCTCCCATCTGGAGGAGCCCGTGTCCAAAATGTCTGCGGCCCTGGAGTCCAGCAGCCGGGGCTCCTCGCCGTCCCGGCTCGGGCAGGTGGCAAGGAGGAGGTGGTGGAAGGTGCCTTCGGGGGACAGGGCCAAGCTCCGGTTCTCAGGGAGGGAGCGCAGGATCCGCAGCTCTGCGCCCGTCACCTCCTCTGCCTCAGGCAGGCTGGAGATGTCAAAGAGGTACCGCTGCTCCGAGGCGGATGGGGATGCATCTGGAAGAGATAACACAGAGGGAAAAAAAAAAAAAAGGAAAAAAAAATTAAATATCGGCAAGCCAAAGCCAAGCTGTCATTAGCGAGGTGCAAGGGACACAGAGGTAACGGGGGAGATCTCGCTGTGCAGCGTGGCTTCCTGAGCATCCCCACGGGACACAGGCTGTGTGTCCTGCATCCAGGGGCGTCACTCTGGCTCAGGGCACCAAAAACAAATGGGAAGGAGAAGGTACACAGGGAGGGAGGAATCAATTCAAATAAGTGGCTTCTCATCAGCACAGACTCTTTTCCACATCCTGAGGAGGTTTCTCTGCTTCCTCCCAGGTGTTCCAGTGACCCCAGATACACCACTATTCTCTTCTGGCACAGAAGCCACACCTGAACCTGTGCAGCACATTACCATCCCCAACCAGCAGTTTGTCACCCATTTCTTCTGCCCTAAGTGTCACACACATACACATGCTGTTAAAAATTCCACTTTCCCCTCGCAGATAGGCACAGCCACACATGTCTGATAGAGGCACCCACAGCAGCTGAAAGTGAGCCCAGCCTCAGTTTGGCACTATTTTTAGTGGATCCAAAGACCTGACACAGACTTGTGCAGTTTCTGGCACTGAATAAATATACTCAACGTGAATTAAAAAAAGAAACACCAAAGGAGGTGGAGGTGGGAAGAAGAGGTGAACTGAGTTCTGGGAGGGTTGTTTTTTGTTTTCTCCCTCGTTAACGAGAAACCTGACCTGGGCATGCTGCAAACATCTCTACTGTGCCCGGAGCGCCCCGACCCGCTGCCGGCAGAGCCCTGCCCGCCCACCGCCGCTGGGTGCAGCCTGCACCGCCCCCGGGGGGGAAACTTCTTCCCCCTGTCATTTGCTGCTGCTGCTATTATTATCATTAACAGTACTATTAACAGTATTATTCATTATGGTTATTAAAATTACTATTTGAAAAGCGAATCTAAAATTCCTATGAGAAGCAGATAAGAGCAGATAAGGAGATCCCTTTGAAGAGTTCATCTGGTTTCGTTTTGCGCTGAAACTTCCCAGGACCTGTGCTCAGTTTTCGCCCAGCTCTCACAAGCCGAGCACTGCCCACCCTCCCACCGGAGCATCCTCCTCCCGGTCCCGCCTCGCTCCCCCGACGTTTCCCCATCAGCTTTGCAGTAAACCTCCTCCCGCAAAGGCTGCGGGCAGGATACGGCCCCTTCTGGCTGTGGGAATGGGGCTAGGGGGGCTCTCCCATCACAAGGCAGCCAGCGACAGGGACGGGGTGCGGCTGCCGCTGCTTTTCAGTTTGAGTTTTCATTTTATTCGATCGGGAATGTATTATTCCCCCCCCCCCCCCCCCCCAGCTGAGCGAACTTTGCCGGCAGGGCGCGAAGTACATAGACACATGTATTTGTTAAAAGTATATCATTAGGTGCGTACATGCATTTGATTATTATTATTATAGACTCGCAGGTATGAAGAGAGCAAAAGAGGGCGGAGAAGGGGACCGCGATGCCGAGCCCAGAGCGGCGTGAGCGGGAGTCGCTCCGGAGCGCCGCGGCCGCCCGGGGCCGAGCACCCCCGGGACACCGTGGCTGCGCTCCCTCCCTGGCCCGGCCCGGCCCGTCGCGGTGCCCCGCGGAGTTTTTCGGGCTGCAAAGGCTCCGGCAGGACGGGGATGCCGCGCGGAGGAGCTGCTCTCACGGTGCGCCGCACGCCCCGGCCCCGCATCAGGCGGCGGGAGGTCCCGAGAGCCCCCGCACCGCCGCTCACCCCGTCCTGGCCGGCTGCCCCTCGCACCCCGAACCGCATCCCCGGCACCAAGGGCCATCCTTGATACCGACTGCGTGTGCAACCCCATCGCCACCCCAGAGTCCCGCTCTGCGCCACGCTCATCTCCGTCGGCAAACCCCTTCACCGATGCCGGGCACAGTCTTTTTGCTGTCCCCATCGTCAACACTCCTAACAGTATGCTCACGCACAGCCCCACTCCCTGCCCTGTCCTCGCCACCACTCCCACGCTCAGATTCGCGCAGGGCTTCGTTCCCATTAAACAACCGGGATGCGCAGCCCCTATCCCGTGAAGCTCCTTCCCCTGCAATTTGCCCGTGCGGAAACCAACGCACAACCCCATTCCCCACCCAACGCACACTCCTATCCCAGGCACAGCCCCGCGCTCGGACCAACACGGGAGCATCCTCTCCGTGTGCCATCACGTCCCCAAACTCACGCTGAGAGTGATGCACAACCCCGCGTATCCATCCTCACATCCACACAGGAGCCCGATCCCTACCACACCCACGAACAACACCGTCTCCATCCCCAAGCCGCGTCCTCATCCCCAAGCCCATTCCGAAGCCCAGGCGTCGACTTCTCTCTCCCGACGGCGGAGTCCCGGCGGGGCGGCCGCTCCGCGCTCCCCGCCCGGCCGCGGCTCAGCCGCACTCACCGCTGCGCGCCCGCTCCGCGAAGCCCGTCACGGTGTCGGCGCGGCGGCCGGGGGCGCGGCGGGCGGCCAGGCGCTGGTACAGGGCCACCATGTAATGATGCGGCACCACCGTGCCGTTGCGGAGAGCCCCGTCCCTCCGCGGCGGGGAGGAGAAGGGGGAGGCGGCGGCAGCGGAGGAGGAGGAGGCGGAGGAAGGCGCGGCTGCCGAGGGTCGCTGGGGAGCGGCCGCTGACGGGCCGCGCACGGCGGCGGCCTCCAGCCCGCGGCGAAGGCGGCAGGCGCCCAGCAGGCAGAGGCAGAGGGCGGCGGCGGCGGCGCGGAGGCGCA